ATTTCAGAGAATCATTTTAAAATACGTATTATTTGGAAGCATCACATAGGCTACTTCAAGCTTGTAATAAACAACATTCATACCTTTATAACTTAGGAAGCTGCTGAAGGCTGTAGAAATTAGAAATATTTCTAGATGATTAGACAAAGTGCAAAAAAGAAAATGAAATGATCTATCCTTGCTTAATTATGAGAGTCCTTAGAATGACTAGACATAATTTGAAGAAATTTGAACATATGTATGTGAATGTTCCTTTTAATTTCTGACACTCTCTTCACCTTCTGAGTCTTCCTTCTGCCTGGCTACCCTATAAAATATATTTTCAAGAAAGCCAGAAAATGTAGCAACATCTGCCCCTCAGTAGCAGATGAGGATTCATTTAGGATTTGTATCTTTCTGTATGCGCTGCCATTAGTGTCTGGTGCAAGTTACCTTTTCTGTTGCAGCAGAATTCAGGAATGCCTGAACTATTCTTAGTTTTGATGAATTCAAAGCTGGAAGGAACTGTTAAAATAATCTAGACTGGCTTCCTGCATAACGTGGCTGAGGAATTCTTGCATTTCATTTTAACATGTTGGGTTTTGCTACATCTCCCTCTCTGATTAAAAAGTCAGTATTTGAAAATCTTCTTACTACATAGGTACATTCAGAGTGTGATTTGTTGCACAGACTTTCTGTTATTACAGAATATTTTCCTTCTTGTGGTAAATAGGAAAATGAAAAGTTGATAGTGGACAGCAGGGTTTACTGTTTGAACACTCACTTTTTTTTTTTTTTTTTTTTTTAATGGAGAGCATAATAGTAAGTGTTCTTGGTTTACAAGCAATTAATTTAATTTCTACTGATTTCTTTAGAGATATTGTCTGCATTTGCTGAGCATGTTTCTTGTCTTTCCAATTTTTGTTGAACTTTATTTCTAATGGTATATTTGTTTTAAACAAATAGACAAACAACCCACATTACCCCCAAAATCCACTACTCTCCATCAAACAGAACCAACCAAAAACCCCCACACCAACATGCCTTCCCCATTCTGCAGCCCCAAGTAACGTTCCATCTAACTCCGTTTAATGTCTGCATACATTGCTTCATACTCTTTAGATCTGAATTTGTCTCACTATTTGTTTGACTGACTAGTCCAAATTATTTTCTCCTTTTTTTTTTTTCCCCCTTTTTTAAGAAGCAATGAGATAAAATGGATACTTTGGTGTTTTCAGCTGGTGACTAAATTCATTTTTCTACCTATTCTGAACATGAGTGGTGATAAGGCAACAGCTTTTTCTTAACTCTAGTATTGTCTATTTCCCCATTTTCCTGGAAGTACCAATCCGTTTAAATGAAGAGCAATGATATCTTTTACGATCAGCAGTATCTACATACCATCTATGTATATGACCTCTTCATACATAGCATATTTGCATTCTTCTAAGCAGCTGAGACTTTTTTACTGTTTTCCATGCTTCCAGCTGATTTACTCTAGCTTCTCTCATTGAGAGCAAATAGTTTTTTGATGTTCTTTTGTTGAAAGTAAATATATTAGCCTTTTCTCAAGTTAGAGTTTTCTGGTATCAGATAACCTTTTAATTCACCTCTGAATCTTCCATTTTTTAATTATTATTTTTTTTTTATTGTACATTTCAGAGTAAATGTAGTATTCCAGCACTGGTGGCATCAGTATGAACATGGAAATAATGCAAAACATCAACTATTTAAATATTTCTTTACTTTTGTAAGGATCCAATTAGTTCATTTAGCAATAGCTTTGTATTGTGTTGACAGCTTCTTATCCACCTTTAGAATCACTTTTTTCCAGTTCCTCATCCTGTAAATGTGGCCTGCGTTCCCTTTGAATGGATTTATGACTTTTCATTTTTCTTTGTTAAAATTTGTCTTGTTCAAATGAAGCTACCTAACCATTTGAAATAGATGATTCTGTAGAACACTTGCCTCAGATCACCAATTTTTGCATGCTCTGCAAGTTTTGTCAGCAATTGCTTTGTATTTTCTTCCAGATCATTGAAAATGATACTGACGACTGAGGTAGATACTATCCAGCCTATATTATAAATGCTGTGATTTGATAGATATTTGTAGTAGGAGTGTATAATGTATTTTCAAAAGTTGTAACTAATTAATTATTTTAAAAGAAATTCTAATAATTTCTGTATGAGTTATTGTATTTAAGACTGTCTATCCCTCAGTGAAAATGTGATAGATGTGGAAACAAGCCAATTTTTAAAGTACTGTATATTAACCAATTTTCTTCTCCCATAAAAAAACTGTAAAGCTTGTAGATAGAGTGCTCAAGGTACAATTCTCCATTTCCATAATAACAAACTTTTGGGAAAGATGAGCAAAACACATTTCAAAATCGTTTTTCTTAGTAGAAGGATATATATTATATATTAATATTAACATTAGTGTTCATCTGCATCTTTAGTAATCCAGTAAACAGATGTTGGTAAATCAACCAGACACTGGAAATAAGTTTTTTTCGGTTACATAGAGCGTAATACTTCATAAAACTCCTCAACTATTACTAGAAGCTTTACCCTAAACTATTTTTTTTTTTCCTCCTTAAAGCCTATATCACGTATATATCATAATAATATAGGGGACCATCTTATTACATACAAAATGGCTTCTTTCTACATTTTTTTTGGTGTTTCAATACCTGAAAAATTGGAGAAAGGCTTCTACAATATGTAGGGATAATTATACTTTCTTGTTAGAACTAGTGTTTGGGATATTCGCTCAACTGACCTTTTCTGAATGTTTATTTTTTGAGCTTACAAAATAGTTCAAATTTATTAGCAGCAGGAAGGGGAATATTCTTTATCAAACTGCACATGAAGGAGCAGTCTTATTAATTCATTTTTTGCTTGTAATTAACAAAACTATGCTAATTGAATAAGCATAAAACAAAAATTATTACAAAACGTGGGCATTTACAGCATGAAGTGATGTGCATTCACAGAAATTTTTTTTCTGCAGGGAAATGAGTTGAAATTATATACAAAACATTGTTTTCTGTAGATATCATGTAAAAATAATGTTATTCTGATTGAGCAGTTTTTCATGCTGTAGGCCACAAATTTATTTACCTATACACAATATCTCAACCCGTAATGTGCAGGCAAATGTCTCATTGGTAATTTATGGTGATTCATCTCTTTCTTACTTAGTACATTCAGTGGATTTGCAAACAAAAATAGTTCCTATTCTACTCGTGCACCTGGAGTCTCCTCCACTCATCTTCCCATCTCAACCTGAAACTTTTCTCAGGTTGCCAGATTTGAGAACTGCTTAGAATGTGTTCCACACACTTTTCTCCTTTGTTTTATTTATCCTTGACACTTCCAATTCAGTTTTCCCTTTGAAAATTGTATCTTTTGCAGTATTTGGTGAAACTTTCTTCTAATTTTCTCCCCACCTCCCTGCTTAATTCTACAACATCTTTTTTATATTGATGACTTATTTTTGACCCATCCCTTGCAACTACAGGTCTTGGTTTTCATTACCTCTTTTCACAGTTCAGGTTTGCTATCCCTGAATGTATCTCCTTTCTGTTGCTGATTGTAACCTCTCAGTTATTTAATGTTTCTCTTAGTAAATTACATTATTTCTGTTCATTATCTTTTCTCTATATTTGAGCTTATTCCAAGCCTTTACTACATCTTCAACACTCTCTAAGTCTCCTTAATGAAAGCAAATTTAGTGAGCAGTTTGTTTGTTTGTTTGTTTGTTTTTGCCTTTCCAGTGGCTGGAATCACATGGGATCACATTTGCATAAATCTTAGGAAAATGGCTAGCCCAGGATGCAGATTTTTTTATTCTTATTTTTATTTTTTTTTTGCTTCTTTATTTTTTGTTCCCATCTTCCTACTCAGCCGCTGCCCTTCTGCCCTTCTCCAGTTGGTTCCTGTGCTTTCTGCTTCAGCACAAAAGCTGCTTTTCTTTCATAGAATCATAGAATGGCCTGGGTTGAAAAAGACCACAATGATCATCTAGTTTTAACCCCCTTGCAGTGTCTTTTCTACTGTTCCAGTAGGAACTGGATTGGTTGCAGAAGGATATTTTCACCTAGTACTAGACCAAGTCAGGCAATGTGAATGCACCCCCTTTGTTAACATAGTATTACAGTTTGTGGCAAAACCTGGCTCAGAGTCTAGATGGAAGGGGAACTGCATAATTACTACTGTAATTAACCTTTGCTGAACTAGTAAATCTGTGTAAAGTTATGTCAGTTCTTCGTTAATTTTACCTATGTAAGCATTACAAAGCAGACTAATTTAGTGATCCTTGTTAGAACAGGGACCTGAACAGTATTTTTTTCTAGATAAGACGGGGATTGCTTTACTTCATATCTGTGAACTACCAATCATGTTCTTAAATGGGATAGAATACTAAATAGCAGTAACATGTTAACAAATATAATTACAAGTATTTGACTACATTCATAGATGGCTTAATGGAGCAGCTGCATTATTAAGCTGTCCTTAAGAAATTTAGTTACTCTGACAATAAATGAAAATGACCGTTATGTAAATAAAAGTCTATTTGCATAAAATGGGCCAATGGTACATGATCAGCTGCTAAGTGAGTGTGAAATCTAATCTCAAAGTTCTGGGTCAGGGATGGGATTGGCTCTTGCCAAAGATTTTCATATTATAGTACTCCTATACGTAGAGATTTTGGAATCAGGAGATGTTTGGAGATCCGAAAACTGCAGCTGAATTTATTCATTTTTGTTTTTCATATTTTTTATTTAAGAAAAAAGTAGTGATATTCATTGAAAAAAAATCAATTATTTATTTTAAACATGAATAAAAGTGAAATGATACAGCTTTGCTTCATAAGGGAAATACTGTTTCATGTGTGGCATTTCTGAGATAACTATTTCATTATTATTTTATATCAGATATTGGAGATAATTCAGTGCAAAAGAAATAATTCAGAACTATTGTCACCTTAATAACATATATCTACTTTATCAACAGAAATGCAAAGGATCCATATCTTCCCAGAAACTTACTGTACCTTATTGCCGCTGGGGCTCAACTCAGACTCCTCTAAGTGCTGCCTCTGTTCTGGAAAATAATGCCAACCCCTATAATAACAAAACTTTTGAAATGGCAAGACCAAAAATTTTTCAGCAAGATTCTTGGTTAGAAGAAAGGTTCTATAAGTTACCTGAAACACCACGTTATGAAATATCCAAACCTATGTTTTCTCAGAAGGCTGTCAAAACTTACAGGGCTTATGTCTACCTATCTCCATGTTACACTGTGGAACAAGAAGGTAAGAAGTCTTTTTTTTCACATGTCGTTTTTAAAACAGGAGGAAATTCAACAATTCACCGCTTGCCCACTCTTTTTTTTTTTTCTCCCAAGTCTAACATTTGTATTTTTCTACGTTAATTAATAGTTCTGTGTGACTGATGAGCTTCTTTAGAATCTTTTCAAAGTTTGAGCATAATATATATTTATACTTGTTTGTAAATTACATACTCTCATGGAAGTATACAGTGCAAAAAATATTGGAGAATTTCTTTTCTGTTTCTCACAAAAAAACACACATTTTCTGTAGAAAACAGATGAACTGAGTAAAAAATATTAATTATACAGAGGGCACACTGAAAGTAATGCCTCCTATTTATTTCCATGGAAACTAAAATACATTCCAAGGGAACAATAACACCAATAGACTAAATTGGCTATTGGCTACGAAACATTATTTTTCAATGTAGTCACCACCATTAGCAGAGTATGAACCGATTGAGATGCTCTTCATTTCATGGTGAGACAATTGTGCATGGCTATCTGGAATGTGGCTTTCTTTCACATCACTGTCGCAACTGCTGAAACACATCACGCACCACGTCACTATGCTCACATCCACTGTTGGATCTCCATAAACATTCAGCAAGTGTAAATGAATGTCAGCAGATACCATTTTTCTACATGGCAGAATTCAGTGACTCACCTTTGCTTCATAAACACTTCCGTGTCAGACATCATTTTTCACATTGCCCCCTCTATTCTGCCATCTGTCAAGCAGCAACAACGTGCCACAGAATGTTGGTAGGAAGGTTCAACCTCTTCAGCAATACCACCAGTATCTGCCTCTGATGTTGTGAGCCAACACAATAAAATAGGAGGCTTTACTTTCAGAACAGCCTTCATTTAAAGCCACAATTTTAATCAAAATAATATATTTTCAGCTAGCAGTTTTTTATATTGAATATAACTCTCATCTTTTCATCTCTTTTCTCACCATGATTATTCAAGTCACTCCAAAGTGGAAGGAAAAGGAGGAAGATGTGAATTGTGTCTTTTCTGTGACATTTATGTAATATTATGTGAATGGCTTTGGTTTGGGCTCACTTTATTTGATTTGATGAGGAAGGAAACTTCGCTTTTTGTGAAGTTTGATGGTTTGATGTTGTGTTTGTGTGTGTGTGTGGAAAACCCTAAACTCTCTATTAGAAGGGGACATATTTTCCACGCGCTTTTGCATTCATTTTTACTTTTAAGGTTGTAGCTTTGTGTGTTCTGAAGAACATTGTAATGGGCATACGTAGAAATATTACCAGCTTTTTCAGACCTAACCAGCTGATAAGTTTAACAACTGTCGCTGGTTCTACTTGAGGTACAATAAGTCTCATGCAGGTCTATAAAGAGCTGCTCTGAAGGAAAATATCTGTACATCTGATTTTTCCTTTTATGTGTGAACTGCTCAACGTTGAGTAAACTGCTTTTGGCAAAAATAGCTTCAAGCTCTACTCCTTTGGCCTTGTCAAGTATTTATTTAGAGATAAACGGATGAAACCACTAAGCACTGCAAGTTATAAACCAAATCCAGCTTCCTGACATCCTTAACCTTTAGACTTTTATCTGCGTTCTGTACAGGCTATCCAAATCTTGCAATACGATGCAATCTGCTAAATTCTGAGGGGGAAGAAAAGATCTCCTTTGCATTTTGATAAGAAAATTGAGAAGGTCTATTGGCAGTTCTGATGCCTTAAAAATAAGTTTCTATATTCAGATTTGTTGTTTACTCTTAAAATTCCTGTTAAGATAGGAATTTTGGTAGATTTCACCTCATTTCAAGTGCTCTGAATCAATCAGCTTTTCAATAAATGTCCTTCTAGATATTTAAATAATACTAAACTTATTTATCTAAATTTATATGTTTAAACATTTAGAGCCAAACCACAATTAGTAAGAAAAGGTGTTTGAAACTGGTACTGGGATGTGTAGATAAATATGTAAGAGAACATTTTGTCAAAAAAGTGACATGGTACTTGCACTGACTCATTTCATTAGCTTAAGTGGAAGCCCAGCAAAGAGAGGCTAGCTGATACCCAGCAACATATTGAAGTATGTGTTGTTAACTAGTTATCTCTAGACACAAGCAAAAATTAGATTGCTTCTACAGAGAAAAGATGACTAGGGAAGAGATGTTTCTACATGGAGAATCCATGAAGAACAAATACAGGGAGGAAAAAATTTTGAAATTTCTGTTTTCATTAATGCTTACTTTCTCCCAGTTTTGGTACTCCATTCCTTGTCTTATTAATACAGACATTCCTTTAATTATCTCCTCTACTGTGTGTCTTTATTTTTGTACTGGCAAAAGTGCAACATGGACAGCATTAGCTCTCCTCTGCCTTAGTTAAATTCTGGTTCACAAAAAGTCATTGGGTCATCCAGCTCACAGAGATTTCGGTTTCACCCCCTAAAGAGTGCCTTGAGAAACTTTAGATTACATTTGCCAAAGTGAGCAGGGTTATTGGGTTACATCTCTTTCAATATTTGAGAGCCATTTTGTCTGGGATACAAAGATAGGGTAGCGTGAGCTAACTATAGTAGCACACTGTAATAAACTTCCACGCTCAGCATGAAATCCCTGTTTGCACGTGTTGTAGTCTTGAGCTACTAAGGTGATTTAGGGAAAGGTCAAAGTCTTTTAATAAATAGGACCTTCTGAGTGCATTTGCTCTCCTAGGTGACTAGTTCAGTAGATTCAATGCAATTATTCATCGGAGAAGGACTGATGCAGCATGTATGAGTAGTCTCTCATTCTTTGCTACGTTTATGAAACTGCCCAAGTTCATTATACAAACATTTCCCTGAAATAATCAGTCCCATAACTTTCAGAACCTCCAGCAGTCACCTTTTTTTTTTTTTTCTATATCTATATTTTTATAAAATTAGATCTCGTGAGCCTTCCATGCTATCATCAGAAACAAGTAATGCATTAGCATTGTTCTTCTTTTTTAACTGCATAAATAGAGGTAAGCAGATTTATTCATTTCAGTCCCTGGTATTTACAGTCTTTCACAGCACTTTTCTCCCCATTAAGTATTTCTGAAGACGCTGTTGTTTTTTCCTAAATGTAAGTGGTAAAGAAAAGTGTCCCAGACATGTAATTTCAGTAGTATCTTCTTCCCTTATGACTCATAACTGCTGAAATCAACACAACTTGGGAGGTGCTTAGGAACTTCAGTACCTGTTTAATGTTTTCAAATAGTAACATCTGTGCATGTTTATGACTTCATGCTCTGCTTTAGAGTTAGTCTAAGCCAATGTTTCTGAGAGTTAAATTGTACTTTTAGAAAGTCCCTGAGCATTGTGAGGGAATTACCATTACTTGAATATTTCATTGAGCAGAACACCAGCAATGATGCACAATCAGATCTGGTTTTATCAGAACTATGTATTTGTGTTTAGAAAATGTATTCTAAGGGAACTGATAAGCATTTTTTTTTTCCTTAAATCACCAGCAGCTCCTTCCTTTTACTTTCTTCCCTAATTTAGAGGCATTAATGACTCTGGCTTTGAACACCTCTGGATCTTATTGTAGACCCATTTGTTTTAGCCTGCTATCTAGCAGAATGGCTGGCTGAGTGGAAAAGAGAAGCAGAGGTGGAGAAAACAGAGGTGAAGAAAAATTTGGCTTGAAGTCATTCAGTGAAAAAAATACAGTGGATTCAGTGAACAATAATGACCTAAAACACCACTGCTTTAGAAAATAGCTAAGAGAAAATCTATGTCTGGGGAAGATTCCAACCATTCTGCTTATGTATGTTGTAAACATGTTTTGTATAGGGGCTATATAAGAGAAATATCCTAAATAACTATTACACATAGTCTTGATGGAACTTCTGTCATCATTTAACCCTGCATCCTTTGCACTGCTGATCAGTTGTCAGCACGGCTGATCTTTGAACAATACAACGAGCAACTTTTCAGAAATTTCATGAATTTGCAGTCTGGCAAGACTGCTGGTGCTTGTATTCTAGACAAAAAGCAGTTATACCAGATCAGTTTCTGGAATCCTATTGAGGTAATTATATGTTTCTGGTGGAACTCCATCAACATCTTCCTCTACATCTTCATATAGTATAATCAAAGTTTTGTGGCACCTAGATATAGCAAATAAATGAGCTATCTTTCAAAGCTCAAAGCACTAATAAAACTGTGAAGTATGAAATGAAAGTGACAAAATGTGAGAAAGATATTGCAAACTTGCATGCAAAGAGGAAAGACTATATCAACTGAAAAAGCCATGCTATTAGCATTAATATTGTCTTCTCATAAAAGATATGTACCTGGCATTCAGAACAGTAGTTCTGCATGCTGAGGAATTTGAAAGATGTACTATAAAGCCTTTCTGTGTACTCGACATATATAGAAATCTTGTAAGTTTTTTGCCAAGCAGATAATTTTTCTGCTTGGGTTCTATATTTGAAATTAACATTTTCTGTGGAACGATCTCTGTTTACAAAGGAGCTAATGATATGTTAATAGAGAGAAGAACAAAAAGACTGAAAGTTGTACAAATCAGAGGAGAAGGAGTTCAGGGTAATTCTAAGGCAAACATTGCGTAGTTTGTAAAAATGCACAATCGTCTTGAACACAAAACTAGGAAAATGCCAAAAATACAGAGAAGGCCAAAAATATGGAGCTCGCTTAAATCCCTTCATGGAGTATGTGAATTTACTTACAGCACTGAAACAGAAAAATCCATTATAGCTCTCTTAAATCAACACACACATTTTGAATGCAGAAGAGGAATGATCTCTGAAATCAAAGTGATACATCATAAAGTACAAAAAGAGCAGTGGGAACTTGTGCTTCTACGTAGGTGCATCTCAAGATGTGAGCACTATTCCTCTGGGTTTGGCACTCCACCTACTGGAGATCCATGATTTGGTGGTAAATTTTGCACTCAAACTTGAGTGTGGGAAGAGCGCAGGGAAATGTCGCAGAGCTAATTGCAGTGAGCTGCTACTGGGTGGAAGCTGCATATATTGCATTTTATCTGCTGCAGTCAGGTGAGCAGGGCTCGCAGGACCTGTTGGAGTAGACTGATTTTTGAATCCCTCTGTATTATTTATTTATTATTTAGTCGTGCATTTTGTTTCTCTCTGAAAATTATGGATGTTTGTAAGGGAAAAGCTTAAAAAATGTTCTGTTTGCCAGTGTTGAACTGGTACGTTGGGGCTTAGTGCTGTGAGCATCCTCAGTTCTATCTTGCCCATAATGCACTGTGGTATGTTTATGTTGGAGCTCAAAGAAACAGTTTCCAAATTTATCTGTTTTTGAGTGAACACAGTACAAAATGTAAAGCAGTCCACAATATTGAAAAAAGAGAATATGTTAATCTGAGGAAGTAAATGCCTAGGGAAAGTATTCTTTCTTTCTTTCTTTCATTCTTTCATTCTCTCTCTCTCTTTTTTTTTTTTTTTAAGGAAAATTTCTGGAGGGAGAATACAACTGAGGGAAAAAGAAACAATACTTGTATAATGTACATATTTGAAGTCTATTGAATGTTTTTGCTGTCTTTGACTCTTTTAAAACAATTGCTACATGTATACATTCCTAACCAGATCTTTTCTAAAGCGGTTTTTCTGCTTAAAAGTGTTTTAGTTTTCACCATGCTTGTGAATATAAAACAGAGCTGTGTGGAGTGTGTGGTCCACTTCCATGATGGTTTGGAGTCCAAAATTAATTGCAGAACGACATTGGAAAGAATGTCTGTTTGCAGGATGTGCATATGTTTGTAGTTTCTCTGAGAAGTTTCTCATACTCTTTCTTGTAAAACAAAATAAAAAACAGAATGATTTGTTTTTTCTTCTCTAGGGCTTTCTATGCTTGTACGTATGTGAATGAATATATTTAAAATTGTTAATATATTGCTTACCTTTTTCATAGAGAAAATAAGCGTTGCTGAGTTGTTGTCTGGGATTGACTCGCTGTGTAGAGCTCGGAAGAATGAGGAAAAAAAGGAGAAATTTTCCTATCTCAGGTAAGATCTGGTAGAACTGACTGACCTATTGTCTTCATTCTGAAATACAAATAAATGTTACCTCATCTTTTTACAGATTATATGTTACATTTACAGTAAATTTCGTACTGTAAATTCTTTGAGAAATTGTGGAGTTCTGTAAGACCGAGGAAAAATGTTCTGTACTTTGATTGCTTTGTTTATTTTTACGGAGCTCACCTGTGCCTCTTGAATATGTAATCAATTCCAAGATCTCACTGAAAATGCAGGATAAGCTTTTTCCAATGATACACTTCTAAAATTCCAGTTGCAAAAGTAAGAGACGCTGAAAAATTTTTGTATTTTTAAATTTACTTTTAAAATGATTTTTTTTTCCTCACGGATTTTAGTAATCAATATCATATTTAAATCTTGCATCCCAGGATTAGGCCATGTAGCAAAACACTACTGAAATATATTTAAACTTTATTTACACTTTATTTTTGGCATACCGACTTTGCATTTTGCTTTTTTAAATGTCAGTTAAGTGGAATGGTGATCATTTCCAGTGGTTGAAGACCTGGCTCTGTTCTGCTCCCAGAAATTAACTTTTTTCTTCACTCTGTTTTAATCAATTGGCATGGCATCATCATTCCATGGCACATTTCTCCCTTGTGGCAGCACCACCTCGTGAACATGCATACACATGGGCTGTATGGTAGTAACTGCATTGATAAGTTTTTACTTACAGCTGCAGCCCCTGTGCCCTGTATGAACACATGCCCACTCACTAGCATTCGTAATGGAGCACGCTCTAAGCCATTATGGGTATTTATTTGCACTTGTGACAGATACTTTGTAAGCTGAATCTTCTCAAAAGTTGCTTTATGCTTTTGATAATTTTAAAGATTTCTCAAACATCCTTTTTATCATTTCAAACACCTTTCTAATAATAATGCCTCAAAATTGTGGACAATACCTTCCTTTTATCAACTGAATTCTAGCACTTTAAGGAACATTCTTAGCAAATCATTTTCAGTTTCCATTTGAGATTGATAGATTGGTGGGAGAATATAGAGATCCAAATGTGTAGTCTTAGAAACTTAGCATTTTGTCTGTTTAGCAATGCAATTATGTTTGCCTTGGAATGAGCACAGTGGAAATGGCTGCCCATAGAAAATGCTTCAGCTCTATCAGTGGGCTTTGACTGCTTCTTTCCACAAACGCTCAAAGGGGGAGAGAATTACAGCTTTTGAAAGACTTTTCATTTGCTCTTGCTTCTATCCTACATGAACAAGCCGTAATATAGTTACTGAAATGCTTATCTGATGATTTTGCAGAGTTTTCACTATCTGCTATTCCTTTGCTCCCCATCATCTCTTGCATGCACCTATGTAGAAAGGAGAAATAAAGTCACAGTGTGTGGAGGAGATTGGCAATAATAAACAAAAAAAGGCCACTGAAAAGCAGAAAAAGAAGTGGGAGGATTGTCATGAGCAAATGGATATCAGGTTGAGGTTGACTGTTAAGTTGTTGGACTTACATTTTTGACTACTATAGCTGTATATTGTGAAAACATGGCAGACAATGACACTTTACTGGAAATTCTTGTGTATGCCTGTTACATTGTCTCATACTTGTGGCTGCATTTACATTTGCTAATGTATTTTCTAAGTGATGATAGTAACGTTAACTAGCTACTTTTAAGGCACACACAGCAGTTGTATTGATTGAAGTGCAGAGAACTGGCTGAAAATGAAATTGGTACTACCCCATCATCATCTGTAGTACATGAACTCTTAACTGAAAATCAATGGATAATTCCACGCAGACTTTGTCTTTTGCCTTCTCTTACACAAGGCTCTTAAGATTCTTCAGTATAGTAGAAAAGCTCAATGAGTCTCCCAAAGTCCTTCTGAATTTACTTATAGTTCCAGTGGTGACACTCCCAAGAAAATTAATTTATATCTGTACTTCTGATTTCATCTGGTATTGCTTTCAGCACGCTATCTTTTCAGCCTGATTGTCTCAGGTAACCATGTTTGTGGTTATTTGATCAGCCTCCTGATCATTCCTGGAGAGCATTATAAAAGAAAATGAGTGTTATATGATATATGATGTGAAAAATTTATATTTTATATAAGTTTATACATTTTTTGAAAGTTTAACATTATCTCAGTGATAAAGCAAAAGTAGACACTATGCTTCTGGTTGATAGTAGTGTTTTTGGTGGCTGTCAAAAGGGAATGGGATTAAAAAAAAACTTAACACCTTTAACCTCAATGATGTCTTTAAATCTTGAGAGGTAGATTTTTATGTATATTGTTCATAATATCAAGGCATAGGATGCGTGACTTTGGCTGTATATTTAAAAAAATAAAGTTTATATGATAACATACTTAAATGCCAAACCCATTTGCGTACATGAGTTATGATAATGATTTCCTTACCATGAGTTTTCTATTCATCTTCACTAGTATCTGGATCTGTGGTTGCACAACAGGTGTGAAAAGCTATACTGAAGTTTTAAAAGCATTCAATGTTACTACTGACTGTGACAGTTCTTCCTAAGTTTATCTGCTAGCCAGAGCTGAAACTGAGATGTTTATCCCATGGAAGCTCCTGGGGCTGCTTGTTATTTCACAACAGTTCTAGAAACTGGCAATGGGAACAAACTTATTCACTGGTCTGAGTATGCTTTCTGTGCCCAGCATTATGCAAAACTAACCACAGTTAAGCAGCTAGGTTAAAACATTTTAGATAACCATATTTACATTAATGTAACATTTCTATATTTAATGGAGCTCAAAAGCCTGATCTTCCTAAATGATCAAAAATTCAGCAAGTAGGTGAATGGCTTTCATGAACATGAAGTAGTTCTCATGAACACATATGAGTTCTCAGTAACTGATTTTTCTGATAGAATGTACTTACTGTCTTTGAAATTATTCACCACAACTACATACAACATTGTTTTGATGGTAAGATAAATGTAACATCTGGAACTGCTGTAATTATTCTGTAGAGCAGCCCTTGAACAGATGAGCAGACAGATTGGCATGATTATGAAGAAACAAAGTCCAGAGAAGTCTGCTCCCACTCATCCAAAAGTGAATGGAGCTTCCCAGAAGTAGTTTTCCTTGTCTCACCGATGCCTTCTATTAATGTATCAGCATATCTGTAGGCAATGCTACTTGCCCACATTTTACCAATATAGAAAATTTTGTATTTTCCAGTGCTACTGTAGAAAATATTTGTTTACTTTCATTCTTTGACTTCCATACTTGCAATCCCAATGAGTGCCAGCTAATTAAAGTCACAATGACAGAAGTCAATCTGTGAAGAACTAGAATAAAACTGTCAATTTATTTTCTATTATTATAAAACAGTTTTTAGATGGCAATGACTTATAAGCACATCTGAAAAGAACAGCTAGTTTAGAAATTAATCTCTCCAATTAGCAGGTACTCATCCCTAAAGTTACTGTTCATTCAAATGATTCACTTAGACTTCTATTTTAAGTATTTAAAAACATATTTCAAAGTAATATATCGCACAATATGATAGTTTATCTTACAATACAATCTTATAGAAATACAGATGATAAAGTTTTGCTTTTCTTTTTATTTTATTTTATTTTTTATTTTTTTTACTATTTTTTCTATAGCAGATCCCTGGATTTACCTAGTTCTTCTCCTGGGCCAAGTGATACTCCTGGGTTTCAGATCACACACAAAGGTAAAGAGGAGTAAATCCTGTTCTGGTATTGAGAGTAGATATAATCTGACCAGTCTATGCAGAGAACTAGAAAAGATAACTTGAGTTTTTTGAGGGATAGTTGTGGAATATGTTCTTTTCTAATGTTGTTCAAACCTGAAAATGTTTAAAATAAGTGTACCTTTAAAAAAAAAAAAAAAAATCAGTCTTTTTTATAAATTCATTTAACTCAAGGACAATGCATAGTATTTATCCCCTCTTTCCCAGTGAACTGGCTTTACTAGCTTACTTGAAACATTTGTGCTCTAGCCTTCAAACTCAAAGGGAAATATGTCTTACTGTGTTTTGCTGTGCACCATTAGACATATTTCCTTGTACATATGAGACAGTAATAAAAATTTGTCTGACTAAACATAACTACTGTCAAGTCCAATCCTTGATCAATTCTGGCATGCATCAAATCTCTTTCAGACCTCACTTGGATATTCACATATCTAAGCACTGTTAATCCAAACAACAATCTGACCCCAAGGGATGTAGATAATGGCCCAAAAGCTTGACTGATGGTTTTTTCCAGTGTACTGCATATGGCGGTATCTCTGGTCAATGACTGTGAGACCTAATGTGCTTCTATCTGATCTAGCCTTGGTTCTTGATCCTGACTTTTGAATCTTTACCCCTCTATCTTGCTTGTTGTCGTAGCCATTCTATTTCTGCTCGAGCCTTCTTTGTTTCGTGCCTCCATTTTGCAGGATGAATCTCTGGACTGTCAGACCAGTCTTGTATTTGGCGTCACAGACTCTCAAATTCTGACTTAAGCTTCTATTATCTTGTCACTGACATGAACTGCTGTATTGAAAGGGCCAGCTGACAGGCTGAACTGTTCCTCCATGCAAACTCACTAAATGTGATCATGTGAGCATCATGTGATGGCAAGAAATCTGCAGTAAATGTTCCTGATGCAAAATTGGTGACTTTTGAGACCTGAGGATCTTACTTTTGTCTCTTTCAGCCCAAGGGCATTGAGAATCAGGTAAAAAGTTCTGACTTATGAAAAGACACTCACATGACCCGAAATTTCCCTGATAAACAGAAACAATAACAAAAATGTGTTTTCCATAGACGCCTCTTAAGGCTTTCACAGACTTAACTGAGCACTGGATCATATTAGTCACTAAACATCAACACTTATCTACTGCACTTAGAAGTCCCTAGACAGTCTGTTGCTAGCAGTAAAATGATCTGTCTGTTCTGATCCTCCCTTTTTCTCTGTACTGCAGAGTCTTTCAAGGCTTTCAAAAACAATAGATTCTGAAACAGGTTCTAAGAAAGATTTAACATGCCTTCTGTCTTTAAACGACTTCTATTTATGACTGTCACCCATTTCAAAATCTAAATTTCCATGCAAGCAGTCAAGAAAAGGCTGATTTAAGGTACCATCATTAAGAAGCTGCTACCTTAAAGAATGGGAAAGTTTAGAGTGTATCCACGAAGTGTTTTTGCCAATACTGTTAAGAGTGGCAAAGAGCCTCTGAAAAGCGTTACTTAATTGTTCTTTAGAACTAAATTGCAGCATAATCATTACTTCCAAACTCAGTGGCAGTTGTCCCCCCTGGATCAGATCAGGCAGGGAGTAACTCTCAGTTACTGTTTGTGCTTTGCTCCTCCCTCTATTACAGGGAGGAAGCAATCTGTCACTGTTTTTTTTCAGCACAGGATTACTTTTCCTTCCTAGCTGGCCCAGATCTGCTGGCTAGTAAAACTAGCTCCCATCATTCGTGCTGTGCAAACCACGGGATGCAGTGAAGAGGAAAAACCTCTGTGGTGTCAGTGAGAGAACTGAAATGCTATTCAGTGGAACAGAAGAATGTGAGACAATCTTGCAAAAGTTTCTGATTTTGCTTTTTAAAGGCCATAGTTGTTTTTCATAGAATCACGGAATCACTCAGGTTGGAAAAGACCTTAAAGATCATCGAGTCCAACCACGGCTTAACCATACTACCCTAACAACCCTCTGCTAAATCATTTTCTTTCTGATAGTTTCATATTTGCTTATCTGAACTGATACATGTAAGCAAGCCCTGGATGTGTGCAAAATCATTGATTTCTCTACGTGAATATTGGTTGGAGTTATACTGTAGTTCAGGAGCCATTAATAAAAAGGGAGAGCAACGTAATTCAGCAGCATATTTGAAAACAAAATAGATGGTTATTTTATTGGTGTTACCTTTTTTTCCATCAGTAGTGAAAGTTGAGCTCAGCTATAAAATGGTGTTTGTTGCACATCTTTATAAGTGAACCCTTAATTATGCCTTCATAATATCTGCAAAAATGTTGATTTCAAAGAAAATATTTGTAAAATGCTGTTGTTTAGTATTTTCAAAGCTTGCTTTTTTTGTTTGTTTGTTTTCTTTTTGTTTACTGAAAGAACGCAAACTACAGTTTCACCCCCCCCATACTAAAAATGCTTCTTAAAGTTAGTGCATTTTGTTGCGAAGAACAAGGAACTGGTAGTGGTGGAAACTCCTAGGAATATAAAAAGAATATATTTTTTCTTATAATTTATTTAGTCATTAGTGCCAAATTTCTTCAAACAATATTCAGGCAGTTGTCAAACTAGCTGAATACCTCAGTCTTCAGTAAAAACAGTAAATTATTTCGTGAAAAATGTCAAGATTAATGCTAGAATGTTTTTAGCAAATTACATTAGTCCAGCTGTCTTGCAAAGTAAAAGGACGAGAGCTTTTTCCATATCTTCTGGGAACAAAAATTGACTAATTCTGTAAATGTTTGTACAGATTTGGTTGTATTCCTCCGAGCCTAAACTGCATATTGAATTGTAATCATCATTCCTCTTGTAGAAGAGGCTGATACACTGTTAAGAAAGCTAGCTAATTAATTCAATTAAAGCTATGAGGCAAGAACTTTAAGGCTACAGCCAAGCATTAGTTCTTGTACGTTAACATGTTTGCGTGTGTATCAGCAGGCATATATGAACGTATGCATGAACTGATCCACTTTAATTACAGATACAGCTATGGTCATGGTACAGAGTTGATATGATCCATTTATTCTTTAGCATTTATTAATGCTAGATAAGTATCGGCCTGCCTTTCTTTTCTTCAAATAACAAGAAGAGTAACATCTGATTCAGATATTCTCTGAACTTGCAGATAAAGCTCCTTACACTATTTCCATAACTCTTTTAGAGTTTGTATTGCCACCTTGGCACAGAACTGTAAGTGCCGCAGTGTGCAAGTGAGGAGAAATCGAAGGGAGAGGAATACAAGCATACAAGTTCTTCTTTCACTGCTCTCTACCACCCTTCATTAAGTGAAGCTCATACGAGTGTTAAGTTACAGGGGAAGTAGATTGGATTGAGTCAGTGTAAATTGTAGCATGACCTGCTTCTTTTCTTCTGCAGGTCCATGGTGACCTGCAAGAACCTAAGGGGCTTGAGGTTTCGCGTGGTGTTTTTCATCTCTCCTTCTCTCAGCAGAAGTCTGGAATCTTTTGCACAGAACTTTGAGGTTCTTGTTTCTATTTATTTTCTGCTATAAGTTGTTCCTCATATAAAGATGATTGAATGCAGAATATTTCTCTTTCAGTGACCTGGATAGTTAAAGGCTGAGTTAAATCAAGGGTCTAGCTTATCTCCATCAGCCAAAAACAATCCAAGCCAAAGAAACTGATGACAAATATGTGAAAAATCAAACATATTTGATGATAAGGAAATAGTGCCAGAAACTTTGTACTGACTTGATTCATCCTTATTCATGAACAAAGATGAGTCACAGTCAAGCACTGGCTTGAACTTAGTTCAGCTTTTTCATTCTGTTGCCCACCTCTATTTCTGTCAGGAGGAATAATGATTTTCTAGCAGAGTACAAGGAAGGCAAGTTGGAAGGCTTTTGTCTGTATACATGTTTTTTTTTTAAAGACAAATATGCTCAGCAAAGAGAAGTTTAGCTTCGGCAGTTGAAGTTTCTTTAAGTAGCTGTAAACAGGTCATTGTAACAGAAACATGACTGACTTTGTTGGGAAGAACTGGTAACCATACTAATGTTGCCCACTTTAGCATCATTCTTAATGATGAGCAATGTGTTTCAAGTAAACCACTTGAATTATACTTAGAAAATGTAATGCTGTGATTGGAATATCTGTAAGACCACCTAGCTTTTATGCTTGGACTGACTTATTAAGGTAATGCTGCAGCCTCCTCACTGGTTCAAAGCCTGATTCTCAATAAAAAGGTTCTTCCCCTTTTTTTTTATTGAGTTCAAATAGCGTGCTGTTTCCAATTCACTGTTCATATATATGGCTTCATAGTTAGGGTATAACTGATTTGGTAGTGGATAGAAAACAGATATGGAAGCCATATATGTCTAAGTATTTGCCAAACCTGCTTTCCACAGACGTATCCTAAATGAAAAAATATACTAATATTAGTGCTTAGAATGCACTGTTGAAAAATAACTTTTACAACAACAGTCATTTTTTCTCTTTTGGTTTAACAGATGACACTAATAAGAAATCTGTTTTCTGAATAAAAGACTTGATGCAGTAAAGGCCAGAACTGAAAGGCCAAGTGTTGGATTGGTGCTGCATTATCTGTGACAGCTGAACAGTTCTGAAAATCTGATCTTTAGAGCTGAAGTACTGCCAAAAGCTGGAGGCCTTAGTATGTGACTTGGGCTCTCACTTCTAAACAGGATTTGATGCAGAATCACACCAAAGTTTGCTCAGAGTGAAAACACCTGCACCCTCCTTTTTCCCTTTAAAGGGACACTGGCTAGATTTTGTGCTTCAGTAGAAGCATAAGTCTAGCTCCAGTTCCCTTTTGCATGTCACCATTTTATGTAATTCTGTAGTCAGTCACACCTAGGTAGAATGCTAAGAAAAAATCGTTTTTCTGAGGCTGGGAAGGAATTTCAGTCCTCAATATAAGTGGGTTCTTAAGAAACAATCAAATTACTGCTGCCTGCTTCAGGCGCATCTGCCTTTTTTTTTTTCCTTATTGT